TTTTAACCCCTTTATTTACGAGGAATTATAATACCGATAATAATGATAATAATGTTAATAATAATAATGATAATGATAATAATGATAATAATAATGATAATAATAATAATAATAATAATAATAATAATAATAATAATGATAATAATAATAGATTATAATGAAAGCAAAAAGAAGGAAAAGAATAAGGACTAATAACAACAACAGTAATAATAATAATAATAATAATAATAATAATAATAATAATAATAATAATAATAATAATAATAATAATAATAATAATAATAATAATAATAATGATAATAATAATAATAATAATAATAATAATAATAATAATAATAATAATAATGATAATAATAATAATAATAATAATAATAATAATAACAATAATAATGTTAATAATGATAACAATAATAATAATAACAATGATAATAATAATGATAATAATAGTGATATTGATAGCTATAATAATGATAACAATACTAAAAAATATAGTCCTATAATCTCTCCCTATTCTGAACATCCTCCGTGATGCCCTGCTGGTGTGATATTACGCACTAGGAATATGAATTACATTTAGTACTCTAGGCAGTAGTCAGTATTTGATGACGGAAATTTTGAGAAGACTGGCCACAGGGAATGAGATGTGATGTGAATAAGGAGAGAAATTGATTTATTGAGTAGGATAATAATTGGATATGAATTAGTTGATAGGGGCTGAGACAGCACGCAATCACAGAGCTCAAAACGAGGGAGCGAAAGAGACAGCTAGACATATAAATGGAAACAAACTGCCATGTATATAAATAGGTTTTGCAAGAGATAGACAGAAAACAATTAAACAGATTTTAAAAATTGCAACGGAGAAACAAACTACAGACAAAGAAACGCGAGAGATCATCCATGAAAGTACGACCAAAGAACCAAAGAGTACGATGCCGCAAGTCCCGCAAATCCATACACGTGCGATATCAGGTTGTTTTGTTTACATCCCAGTTACTCTCGTCAGCTGGATGGCCGAGGCTGTGAGGAAAAAACGAACGCGCATCAAGGTAAAACGAGGGACGAGGATGATTCTTAGTTAGTGTATAATATTTTTTCTTCGCTTGTTTTTTTATAATTTGTAATCTACGTTTAGTATTATCTCCGTGGTGTTCGCAGACATGGCTAAAGTGCGTAATTTGTCAATCTGGCTCGATCACTTGGTAGTCAGCTGATCGCATGACGATTGCGCATTCCTATTTATAACATATTCGAATGACGTATTTTGTGATTTATGAAATTTTCTAATAAGCCATGCGATTTGGATAGCATATGTATTAACGAATGTCATGTCTCGATTGTGATTTTTCCATGAAACCATACGTGATCAGCAATGGGAAATGTAAGTGCGAAAACATGACATGCCAAAGTCTTTGTCATGCCTTGTTTGCACACCTGTAATATATCAGACAGAGAATCATTGGTAGTGTTTCTTGGAAACAACATACAGCCTGCACAAGTATATCAGGATTTATGTATTTTATTTCAAGGAAAATGGAATAATAACATTTGTAATTTTGTTCAAACTATACAGTGGTCAGTTTTTGTTCACAGTCTCATTTCCATTCTACAGTTCTTTGTTAAACAACAAAACTGGTAAGAAACTTGGCATTAATGACATCATACTGGGATCTGATTGAAATTGCATAATCTTATGTAATTAAGTGCACTATTGGCATTTGCTTATGCATTTTTCCTTGGATGCTTCATAAAAAAATATATAATCGTGGTATGAAAATAGTCAGATCAGATATGTAATCTCTCTCCCTCTCTCTCTCTCTCTCTCTCTCTCTCTCTCTCTCTCTCTCTCTCTCTCTCTCTCTCTCTCTCTCTCTCTCTCTCTCTCTCTCTCTCTCTCACTCACCCTCTCTCCTCTCTCCTCTCTCCTCTCTCTTCTCTCTTGCTTATGCTTTTGTCCTTGGATGCTTGAGAAGGAAAAAAATATAATCCTGGTATGAAAATAG